ATTTACGGGGGGGGGGGGGAGGTCACATTTGATCGTTGAAACTTTCTACACATTTGATAACCCCTACATAGTGAAATACTAATGATAACTCATGATTAATCATGGTAGGGTTCATAAGAACATTAAAATTCTCACTCTGGATGTTCTTATTCAAAATGAGTGTTTACGTACACCAAGGGGAGGTAGTTTGCAAAGGGCTTTAAAACTGATGAAAACCAACAGTGTAAATATAACTTAAACGTGTAATCTATAGACAACACAAAACAACAAATATCGTACACATCTAAAAAACACGTTGTCTTTACAAAATGAAAGGATTATAAAATGGTTTAAATTGAAATGAAAAAAATCACTGTTGTTTTCTGACAAAGACATGTTTAGAAATTGTGTTTAGTCACTTGATGTCTGGTATGTTCCAGCACTCAGAAGGTTTGTGTGCCTATGTAATAATGCTGATGGCCGTCTACTGGCTTACAGAGGCTATACCCATAGCAGTGACTGCTCTGATGCCTGTGGTCCTCATGCCGCTGCTAGGACTGTTGCCTTTAAAAGAAGTGGCTCCTCTTTACTTCAAGGTGACTGTCTTTACCTGATCAGATTGTATTTGTTTGTTTGTTTTTGACAAATCACCTGCTGTATTTCACATTAAATTATCAGAACGATTTTTGAAACTAGGCCTATTGGATGCTATTACGAATATTTTCCTCAACAAACTTCAGCGTTACTTTTTGTTTTTAAAACCTTTATCTTATATGTCTTTTTTGCTGCTTTTTTGCTGTAGGATATTATAATGTTATTCATGGGAGGACTGTCGGTGGCCATTGCCATTGAAAAATGGAACCTGCACCAACGCATAGCTCTGAAGATTCTGGGGACAGTTGGAGCCAATCCGAGACTGTAACTATTGTAATGGCTCTTTAAAATGTTACATTTGCGCTCAGAAGCATTGGTAGAATAGCAGATTGTTTGCATAATTTCGGTGTGAGGGTTGAAATATAGTTCTAGTTGGTTCCTGTTGCAGGTTTCCAGTTGGTTCCTGTTGCAGGTTCCAGGGATGTTTGAGTTACACCCAGTAATTACCATTGGCTGATGATGTTTGATCTAATTTGAATTAATTTATAGTCAGGTCAGTTCTGTGATAGCAGTGGTTTAATTTCAGGTTGATGCTAGGTTTCATGGCACCAACTTGGTTCTTGTCCATGTGGATCAGTAACACAGCCTCCACGGCCATGATGATACCCATTGTACAGGCAGTTCTAGACCAACTTAAAGATCATTCAGGTGGTATATTATGCCCGTATTAGTATTTGTGATGTCAGGAACTTTCTATTATCGACAGACTTTACTTTTAATTCATACAAACTAACGGTTCTATACTTTTTATCAGATCATGCAAATGCTTTTCATAGATTTTTGGACAACAAAAAACAACGTCGCACCAAACGATAATACATGTTCCTGTGTGGTTGTAAATATGTACAAATAGATGGTTGTAAATTTATATAAACCTTTTTCATACCATTATTATTATTATTATTATTATTATTATTATTATTATTAATCCGGTATATCAAAAGAAAATGAAGGCATTTTCGAGGACGCTGTCGAACATACTGAAACTGAAAATGAAGTGTTATCGGAAGGAACGACAGGACAACCAAAGGCCAGTTCGTATGTACCCATTATTAATCATTGTTATCTGTTATCAAGCAGTTGGCGTGCAAACTGGATTCACTGCTAATATATATGTATTGCGCTTCACTCGTTTGTGTTGCCTAGCACTTGTGTCTGTAGCACGAAAATTCATGCGTTAGCACTCTGTTGACAGTATCACAGCCAGTACATATCAGAACGGTCAATAGGAGTGCTAACGCATGAATTTTCGTGCTATCATGTCTGCTGAGGTGATTGCGTTGGGTTATGCAGTGGTTGGTTCAATGCGATTCCAGTAAGAGCGTTAACTAGCGTCCTTGTTCCCTTTTTGAAAGGAATCTTTAATTTGGAAATCTGGCACTCGTGGTTGCAAAGATCAGACTTCAAATGAGGTGAGATTTAAAACAAGTATACAGATTGTAAGAAAATCGCAAAGTCATACGCCATGTAATGAAGTAAGTTTATAAGTTTTATAAAATTGTAATGTTTCGTAGAGAAGATGCCGTCACTCGCACTAACTTCAACATGGTAGTCTCCAGCTCGACTGCACACCTCACAGAGATGGGAGAGGGAAATCCTGACCGTGACCACAAACAACTATGTAAATGTATGTGTATTGCTGTGGCGTACTCAGCCACAGTTGGCGGGATTGCCAGCCTGACAGGGACGCCACCTAACCTGGTCATGAAGGGACAATTGGACATGTACGTTCTTATTTTTCACAGAATTCAAGTATTCTTGTATTCAAAATACGACTTTGGCTACATATTGCCATTTATGGGTTATTAAAGAAAACTGCGGAGATCAGACTGAGATAAATTGCCCAACACAAATTTTTCATCGTTTACCAATGTTTCCTTTTTCCTGAAAAGAAACGTACTTACGGGATTACGTAAGGAGACCATGCGCAGTTTGCAAAACGTGTCGGTAAGTTTGCTGCCATTATTTATTACAGAATCTTTGAAGACAATGACGACACCAATCCCATAACATTTGCCAGCTGGATGGCTTTTGCCGCGCCAACTTCTGCCATCTGTCTTCTTCTGAGCTGGATATACCTCCAACTTTTCTACTTCAGATGCAGGTATTATCAGAAAAATATAATAAACTTATTTACTGTGATATATTGATGAAAAATTTAATATATACATAAAAGTTCTGTTGGCCACAGGACTTCTTGTAAAAATAAATTTTCTTGGGAAGGGTGTTGAGGTTTGGTTAAAAATTTTTGTATGTATAAATGGTCTATGGAAGTAGTATCGTTTACGATTATCAAATTTAGAGAAGGTTCAACAAATATTTATGAAAAAATTGTTTAAAAACGTACTTGAATACATTTTCCCAATAAATGAAGTCTGAATGTTCTGATTTTTCAAACACAGCATTTCCTAATCATATACGTAATGCATGTTTTTCGAAGCACGTATTCTAATTAAAAAAATGTCGCCGTTCTTTTTTTGTCTGCTGTCTCTGCTCTGTTCCATTGTGGCCAGTCTTGCAGTATGACTTACATTATGTCTGTGCTGTCTGTCTATTTTAGGTCTGTTAAAACAGACAGCAGCGTAAAGACAGTAATCCGAGCCCAATATAAAGACTTAGGACCGATCAGGTATTTATAACCAAATTTTTAAAAAATAGATACCGTATTTTAATAATTTGACAGCCATTTGCAATTCATTTGAAAACACATATATAAATATAATGTTTCTAAATCTTCTTGCAATTATCAAACACCCAACGTTTATATGCTATCATCAGTTTGTCATATTCTGGTGGAAGTTCTTGGTCGTTTATTCTTCAGTTTCGCTGAGGTAATGGTGTTCCTTCATTTTCTGCTGCTGGCAGTCCTATGGATAACCAGAGACTTGGCAGGATGGGGAGATTTGTTCAAAAAAGGGTACGTTGGTTTAATTTTAATTAAAAGAAGTAAAGAAAAGGGTAATATAAGTATATAGAACCTTAATCGTTTGGAAGGTCTTGTGAATAGAATAATATTCGTGTCATCCAAATGTAGCAAAACCTCAATGAAAATTTATCAGCTTTAAAAGATAATGGTGAAAAACTATATATAAAATTACAATAAAGTGCCTAGAGAGGACAACTCCGTAACGTGACAGTCTTGGGGATTTTTGCTTTTTCGCACATTTTCAGTTACGTTGGTGACGGCGTTCCCGCCATTGCAGTGACCATACTGCTCTTCATGGCGCCAAGTCACCGGCCCCGGGTCTTCTGCTGCAGGGACGCAGCCGGTAGAGAATTCTTTGTTCAATTTTAGTACGTCCAGTGTGGCGAGATGCAGAGTTCCCAATGTGATAGTACTGAAGATATGCCGATCTATTGTCTGTTGTTTTATTTAAGTAAAATAAAAATTTTTATAAGAGGATAACGCCTGTAAACAGTTTGTTTGTTATACGTGACAATTGTTCTATATACGTAAATACATGTTTAATATGTCGACTTTGACATATAAATGTTTGAAGGCATCTAAACTGTTGCAGCCAGTGAAAATCCCAGTCCTCACACTGCCCTCCTCGACTGGCCTTCCGTCCACCAGAAGATGCCTTGGGGTGTTATTTTACTGCTCGGAGGGGGATTCGCAATCGCAGAAAGTGCGCAGGTAAAATTACGGCTATAGAGATAGACCTAGCTACGTACGCTTTTAAGTCCATAATACTCATATTTCGTCTCTAAGACAAAGACGTATCGCATACCTTGGTATTATTTTCTGCTATTATTTTCTTGGTAATATTCTCTGATATATCCATCTCCAGAGATCTGGCCTGTCTGTCCTGGTGGGCGGAGCGTTGGCCTCCCTGGACACCGTGTCCCCCCTGGTCCTCCTCCTCCTCATCACCACCACCGTCTGCTTCCTCACCGAGGTCGCCAGCAATACCACCATTGCTACTCTGATGATTCCTATACTTGCAGAGCTGGTGAGAATAGTTGTATCTACGAACATGTCTTTATTTATTTATTTCTTATGACAATTTTAGTGATATGGGCTATATTTGAGCACAGGCATATTTTGACTGTATTGGTTAACATCCCAGAATCTATTTATTTGCCATGTTGTAAGTACCTGTCATTAAATGATATATAACAAAGTATATAACAAATATAAGCTTCAGTGAACATCCACTTTCATGTTATTTTTAATAAGCTAGTTTAAACCTTTAAAAAGGGCCATTATTTAATTCAAAGTGCATATTACAGGCAATCAAAACTGGAGTCCACCCCATATATTTTGTGTTCCCACCAACGCTGGCTGCCTCATTTGCCTTTATGTTGCCAGTGGCAACCCCACCCAACGCTGTGGTCTTTGCTTATGGTCATCTCAAGATAAAAGACATGGTAGGTCTATCTGGCTGTAGCTGCAAAATCTTTGATGCCAGGACATGGCATTGCTGTCACTTTTACAATAAGAGTATGGATTTGAACGAAATTATGAGAGTGACATAAGCAAGCAAGATGTTGCAAGCCACAAATGGCCAGCACCGCTGCGTGTTTCCCCCATCCCCAACTTTCTTAAAAGAGAAAAAAGGCATATTAAAATGTCAGTAAGACAGAAATTGCTGTGTAAACACCACTGCCCTCAGGAACACTCCCATGTTTTATTTCTCCTTCCAGATGATGACTGGTATAGGTATGAACATCTTGTGTCTGTTGGTGGTCAACCTGGCAGCTAATACATGGGGTTATGCCTACTTCAGCTTGGGCCAGCCTCCAGCCTGGGTCCAGAGTACAGCCAATACTACAGCCACTACTCTCCTCATGAATACTACCACTTCCACTATGCCTACAGCCACTACTCTCCTCATGAATACTACCACTTCCACTATGCCTACAGCCACTACTCTCCTCATGAATACTACCACTTCCACTATGCCTATACGTACAGCCACTACTCTCCTTGTGAATATGACCACCACAGCACCTGCTGGCCCTTAGCATTATAATGATAACATATGCATTTACAAGGGCTTTCTTTTATAAAATATAAAAGTATGTCCACCTCTAATTTGGTAAGCAATTTATGCAATATAGTAACCCATGATACTGGTACAATGATGCATGTTTTTGAAGACACTGGTACAATGATGCACGTTTTTGAAGACAAATATTTTATGGATAAACCCAAGAACATCTGAAAATAGACTTATACTATGGACCCTCTTGAGAGAAATGTTATTTTGCCAGTGGCATTACAGAAACTTTGAAGCAACATTTCAGAAATAAAGACAGATAAGAAACATAAGTACTGTTTATTCCAATAACTGAGTAAAATGTATAATATGGCAACTATAAAATAGCACCTGAAAATGTAAAATTGCTAAACAAATAAACAGAGCAAGTTAGTTTAAAGAAAACTCTTGATCTTTTGTATTAAAAATATGGCATTACTTATTTTTAATTGTACATATAAGAGTTGGAAATAATTATAAATGCACAATAAATGCTTCTTTCACAAAATGGAAGACCTGAAGATGTAGCACCTAAAGAAGTTTAAAATAAGTCACTTGTACTAAGCAGACGTATGCTACATGGGAGCAATACACGGTTTTCCTCCTCTTTAAAAAAGAAGAAAGAATAAATGGGGTTTATTACCTCTATCTCACACCTACATTGATTGCTTGACTGCTTTTACATCTTTGCCATCAGAATATATCATCTTTCACCTTTCCCCCCCCCCCTTTCCCCTCTACACGTACGCTCTAATAAAAACACTCCCATCCACGCACATTTACAGGTACTGATAGGCGCACTCACACACAAACACACACACACACCTACTTTTATACATAGATATAAATCTAACTAAAGTTACACTAAATATACTTTGACCTTTTTGCTGCATATAAATATCCACTGTTAAATCTCAATGTTGTCCCGAAGAGGGGAGAAAAGTTAGTAACATGTATGTACCAAAAAATTCAAACATACAACACATCAACATTTCTGGACAATCTCATTACATAAAAGATCATATGTTATGCTTTCATACAAGTGTTCATACTGTGAATCATGTATCACACTTGAGTCAACTTGCTGCACAAACATTGACATTCTTCTTTTCTTTGGTAAATCCATCTCCACCTCCAACAGTCGGCACTAGGTGTGGCTTCTCATCACACATGGGACATTTCTGGTTTCGCACCTTGGACGACCTCATCCAAATAATCAGATTATACCTCTCTCCATCCTGAATAGGCAGCGCCCCGTGCATGTGCTGCCCTCTATGTATTAACCCATGTGTGGGTTTATGTTTGTATTCTGCACACTGGCCCATATCATGTGGCTGGGGGGAACCTTTCATTTTTCCAAAGAACAGTGATCCCTCGTCAAAGTCTCTCCCCAGTGATATATTGAGTGTCACCTCGGCATTGTCATAGTGGTAGCTCAGAGACAAGTCCTGGTCCAGTTTGTATGTGACAACAAAGGCCTTGTGGGAGTCCAAGCTGTCCCCGCCCCAGTCTGGGTACAACAGGCTGGTGATGGGTCTCAGGTAGTCCTCACGGAGAGGGGTGATTAAACCTTCGTCAAATCCCAGCTCATTTAGCAGAGTCTGAAAATATGTTTGATGTAATGATTAATAAAATTGGTCCAAAAAGAATATATCTGGATCTGAAAAATTTTCCAATAAGCTGTGTTAATCAAAAACTACTTAATACCTTTACATGCATTGTACCAAGCACTTACTTGTGTGACAATATGGACTATAAGTAGTTTATCAAATTACTGATCAAATTACTGGCATCATCTTTCAGTTCTTACCCCATATTTGTTCATTGTATTTGGCCTTCCTTTAGGCATGTCTGAATTTTCAAAATTAATCATTTCTTCTATGAAATCTTCACAAAACTGTGGAGTGAAAACCGGAAATGAATACACTCTGTCTGCTGTAAAGAAAAATAAAATAACTATTTAGAAATATTTGTAATAAGTACTTCAGAAATTTAAGGGGAGTTTCAGCTAGCATTGTAGCAAAGGTATTGCAAATGCTTTAAAACTATTTTGGGTAAAGGAAATCAAAAGCTTAAAATCATAAAGTTACTTTATTACTGTACATTTTATGTCTATATATCCTCCAATGACTTACCTGTTTCCATCCCCAACTTCTGCACCACACTATCTTTTGTTGCCTCTGGTAACTTGCAGTGTTCCACCAACCTCAGGAATGCTGGGGCTAAGAAGTTTTCCTGTAAGGTGCGGAACATTTTAATTTTGTCTTTATAAGCTACTGATTTGGTGGATCCTATACGTCATGTTACTCAATTGACATGTACTTTTATAATGCTACTTTGGAAAGGATTAATACCTGTCAAGTAAAAAGGAAGTCCTTTCAAGAATTTGAAATCATCAACAGTTTTCAGACTTTGCAAAATTGATGATTCTTTTCACAGTTTTTCAGGGACTGATATTATAATATGTTCTTGATACAGTAGTTTCTCTCTCAGTTACCCTGCCCAACAATGTCATAATAACTCTTGTCTACCTGAAGGTTATACACATGTGGTTTCAGCGGGGTGTACTTCTGCTGAATTTCCTCACTTCGCTTCAAAGTCTGCTGACCCAGTGATTTCCGTCTTTCAATTTCTTCTTGAATCTAAGATAAGACAGATACATTTATGTCACCTATAAATTGAGTTTAAGGTGAGAACAGTTCATATTATTATACACCCATAGTAGGCAATATACATGTACATGTTTAGTTTAGAAGTTCAAAAATCACAAACAACATCAAAAAACTGGGTGCTTTCCAGTCAAAAGAAATGTCATTCATAATTAACAATTCCCAATTATTTTATATCTGCTTATGAAAATCACATTTTTCACAAATAACTTCCAGCTCCAAATATAAAAGTAAATGTTTTATCGATCACTACCTCTGTTATTAACTGGTTTACTTTGGCATCTGTATCACATCCCTTTTGTTTCAAAATCTAAAAAGAAAAAGAGAAATGTTTCAGTATCAGTTTAAACAAACTTAGGCCTACCAAAAGGTTGGGACATAATAACAAATGTACAGGATACCAGGACAAAGACAGTGAAGTTGGCGTCACATTGTTTTTATCATATAAAATAAATACATGTACTNCCCTCTATGTATTAACCCATGTGTGGGTTTATGTTTGTATTCTGCACACTGGCCCATATCATGTGGCTGGGGGGAACCTTTCATTTTTCCAAAGAACAGTGATCCCTCGTCAAAGTCTCTCCCCAGTGATATATTGAGTGTCACCTCGGCATTGTCATAGTGGTAGCTCAGAGACAAGTCCTGGTCCAGTTTGTATGTGACAACAAAGGCCTTGTGGGAGTCCAAGCTGTCCCCGCCCCAGTCTGGGTACAACAGGCTGGTGATGGGTCTCAGGTAGTCCTCACGGAGAGGGGTGATTAAACCTTCGTCAAATCCCAGCTCATTTAGCAGAGTCTGAAAATATGTTTGATGTAATGATTAATAAAATTGGTCCAAAAAGAATATATCTGGATCTGAAAAATTTTCCAATAAGCTGTGTTAATCAAAAACTACTTAATACCTTTACATGCATTGTACCAAGCACTTACTTGTGTGACAATATGGACTATAAGTAGTTTATCAAATTACTGATCAAATTACTGGCATCATCTTTCAGTTCTTACCCCATATTTGTTCATTGTATTTGGCCTTCCTTTAGGCATGTCTGAATTTTCAAAATTAATCATTTCTTCTATGAAATCTTCACAAAACTGTGGAGTGAAAACCGGAAATGAATACACTCTGTCTGCTGTAAAGAAAAATAAAATAACTATTTAGAAATATTTGTAATAAGTACTTCAGAAATTTAAGGGGAGTTTCAGCTAGCATTGTAGCAAAGGTATTGCAAATGCTTTAAAACTATTTTGGGTAAAGGAAATCAAAAGCTTAAAATCATAAAGTTACTTTATTACTGTACATTTTATGTCTATATATCCTCCAATGACTTACCTGTTTCCATCCCCAACTTCTGCACCACACTATCTTTTGTTGCCTCTGGTAACTTGCAGTGTTCCACCAACCTCAGGAATGCTGGGGCTAAGAAGTTTTCCTGTAAGGTGCGGAACATTTTAATTTTGTCTTTATAAGCTACTGATTTGGTGGATCCTATACGTCATGTTACTCAATTGACATGTACTTTTATAATGCTACTTTGGAAAGGATTAATACCTGTCAAGTAAAAAGGAAGTCCTTTCAAGAATTTGAAATCATCAACAGTTTTCAGACTTTGCAAAATTGATGATTCTTTTCACAGTTTTTCAGGGACTGATATTATAATATGTTCTTGATACAGTAGTTTCTCTCTCAGTTACCCTGCCCAACAATGTCATAATAACTCTTGTCTACCTGAAGGTTATACACATGTGGTTTCAGCGGGGTGTACTTCTGCTGAATTTCCTCACTTCGCTTCAAAGTCTGCTGACCCAGTGATTTCCGTCTTTCAATTTCTTCTTGAATCTAAGATAAGACAGATACATTTATGTCACCTATAAATTGAGTTTAAGGTGAGAACAGTTCATATTATTATACACCCATAGTAGGCAATATACATGTACATGTTTAGTTTAGAAGTTCAAAAATCACAAACAACATCAAAAAACTGGGTGCTTTCCAGTCAAAAGAAATGTCATTCATAATTAACAATTCCCAATTATTTTATATCTGCTTATGAAAATCACATTTTTCACAAATAACTTCCAGCTCCAAATATAAAAGTAAATGTTTTATCGATCACTACCTCTGTTATTAACTGGTTTACTTTGGCATCTGTATCACATCCCTTTTGTTTCAAAATCTAAAAAGAAAAAGAGAAATGTTTCAGTATCAGTTTAAACAAACTTAGGCCTACCAAAAGGTTGGGACATAATAACAAATGTACAGGATACCAGGACAAAGACAGTGAAGTTGGCGTCACATTGTTTTTATCATATAAAATAAATACTGTCATTGAGAGAGTCACAAGAAGTCAAGCATCCTAGAACCCATTTCCTGGTCTGGTCTCAGGCATTCATGGTGAGAAACAAATGTTATTATCCTTGTAATATATACGTACATGAAGGCTGGAACAACACTCAACAGTAACTTACCGAGTACTGTAAGTTATACAGAGCCAGAGGCAGTTGAAAAGCTGCGAGTTATGCCTTTATGTTTTGACATGTTCCTCGCAAGTAAGCAGTCAAAAATGGGGAATTATTTCCAACCTAACTTGCCTACCCTATTCAGCACTTTTGTACACACTTTTTTTTATTTCACAGGCTAAATTTTCGGACTAGGCCTAAAGTTAATACACCACTCCCTAATTTTACGTCCGCTAATGTTGGGATTGGAAATTGACCAAAGAATTATAATTCATAAGCTATTCTCACCGTTCCATATTCTTTCAAAAACTGTTGTCGATTATGGAAGTTAAAATGAATGTCATATTTCGATACAAAGATATTCCGAGTGAAAAAACAACTGCAAACGTAAAATTGCTTCATTGTGGACTGCACAGGAAGTTCATTACCGGAAGTTTATGCTGGTCTCGTTTTCACTGGAAAGCATGGGGAACTCTTCGAACTCTCAGACATCTCTGGGTACAGCTGGAGACGAAGCAGAGAAAGAAAATTCCATATGTAGGAAAAAGAGCTCCTTATGGCCAGTAAGTGAAAACTAATAAAATTTTTGTTACAGTGTCAAAACTCACGTTTAACTGACAAACGGTTAGGCTACAGCGCCTCCACTATCGCGTACACTGACTGTCTGGTAGTAATGAGTTTGACGTAGGCCTACTACGATACATATGTGTTAGTATGTACCATTTGTGCAGATAAGTAGTTTTTGCCAGAGATCGGAAGGGGCGTTTAAACGCGTAAATTTTCTTACAAAGATACATGTAGCCTAGGGCAAAGTTTTAGTTGATTTTTTTTCGTCTGCCACAGTTTTCTAATTACAGGCTAACAAGAGAAAAGGGGGAGTTCGTTTTTGCGTATTGATAACCTGCATAAAATTGCATCACATATGATTTATATCATCTATGTTATTNGGAGGCGGTATCGCCTCTCTGATCCTCTAGTTATTTTTTACTTTTTAGTTGAGGAACTGTGATTACTATAAAACAGAATTTGAAAGTTGCAATGGTAAGTTTACTCAATAAGTGGTGGATTTTAGACCATAACTTACAAAATGTGGCAAAAGCTGTCAATTAATTTTTATGTACAACTCACCCTTCCCTTTTTGGCATGTACATGTAGATCTTAAAGATAACAAGTCCTTATTTTTTGAAGTGTGTCTGCTCCAGGACTTTGATTGTAGAGTTGTATATGATCTTTAAAATTTAAGAAACATTTCAATTACTAGTATGATAAGCATTGTTTCTACTGCAGCATATAAATCGAAAGTCTTTCAAAGATTTGTCTATGGGCACACACAGGATTGCTCAAAGTGGAAGGATTACTATGAAAGCTGTCTGAAGTTTGAAACAAGCAAAGATGAAGAGGATGTGGTGAGATCTTTATATTATTGTGCTTTAAGAAATGCTATGGACATGGTTTCGTATACCAAAGTAAAACTGATATAACATGTTTTCTGCTGGTTAGTACAGTCTGAAACTTGTAAGCAGAATTGTTTTCCTGCAAAATTAAAGGCATACAGTGTGCATTAAACCTTCACATAACAAAAGAACTTATATTTTCCTGAAAGTTTTAGTAATTTCACATTTATCACTGAGCTTGAAGAAATAACCTATTGGTATTTAAAAACACTGTTCCTATTAAGTGTTATATCTCCTTATGTAATGATTATGCCACAAAATAATGATATGAAATGAATAGCTGTTAAATAAGATTTTTATTGATATGCAACATGTGGGTATAACTTGGTCAGTTAAGAAGATAGCCCCATTCCTGGCACTCCACCTATATTCAATTATTTAAATCTTGTGTCTTTGTATGTTGCTTGGTTGAGAATTTGTCATTACCTCAAAGACCAATTTAAACCTGATTGTTTTTTTTTTACCAGGCTAACTTGCTAGAAGCAGAGAGAGAGAGAAGAGAGGAGTGGATGGAAGGTTCCAAGGCAAACGATGTGTGGGAGTATCGTGACAAGCCCCCAGAGGAATGGGAGCAACCATGGGACAGAGCAGAACATGAAAATAGACATTTCACTAGTTTCTTTAAAGAATATAGAGAACAGTGCCGTGCACCTGTCTCAAAGGATGGAAAGCCTAGCAACCAAACTAAATTAACTCCTGATGTTATTCAAAAGGGACCTAAAATCACTCGTATATTATAGTTTACCTTTGGTTGATTCAATATTTTTACATTTGTTTGCATCACCAAAGGTATGTTCTCATTTAGTGAGGAAATTAAACATTAAAATTGAAAGAACACATACTGCAACTTGTCATTATTAAAGCAAGTTCTTATTTTAAATTATAGCATGTAAATAAATTGTTTCATAAAATCTGATACAATTTATTTGCACAGTATGATTAATACAATTTTTTTCAATCGTGTAAATTATTCTTGGTTTATAAGGTTTATCTTTTATGTCCCAGTTTTTCCATTGTTGCTGAGGTCTGAATTGTGACACTACTCTTCCTCCTCCTCAAATATGATATCTGTGAAGAATCTGAAGTCGAGATTCTGTGTCTGAAGCATGGCTTGGTACTTGTTTGTGATCTCTTGAACCTCCAACCGTTTTTGCTCATTGTCGCCGTTGGCACAAACATGAAGACGCTTTAACGCTGAAATATTTAAAATGAGGTATATACAGTACTCGGGGATAGTTGGCTTTTATTTGCATGTAGATTGGCAGATCACGTAGTGAAGGGTGAGTGCCTCTCTTTCCAAAACGTGACGGATTCAACCCAGTTCTTTCTCAAAGGGAAGGAAAAGACCTTCTGTAGAACACTTTATACAAGTATTCAACCCGACGTGATGGCCAAAATTTTCAAAAATGTTCTTAATGGCAAGAGAGGGGGAGCCAAAAAATGTGTCACGCTTCTAAATACCTTGGATTCGTTGATGATGAGACGGGATATCTACGGAAATGCCCGAAACGACAGATGACAAAAGAAATGTTTTGAAATTTACATTTGACTTCTTTGTTCATCCCAAAGCGGAGTTTATTTTAAAAATTCTACACAAAGACAAAGTAAAAGAACACCTTTCTGGTAAATTTTGTAACATCTTTAACTAATTGGAAATTATTTTAAGATTTTACCGATTTTGTTTTGCTGTTGCAAATTGCACAGGATCTCTATGGCCGCACTGTCGATAAACGCATGGATGTCCACCGACTTGAGCAGACGACAGCGAACAACCATTGACAACAAGGCATGGTGAAGGACTTCTTGGGGATTATCGTATTCCAGGGAAAGAATTTCTGTGTGCGAGGGAAATAAAGCGATATGTAAAAACAGAAATATTATTAGAGAGATTAGGAAGTTTTTATCTAACAATTTTGTATACATTAAAAATTCGAGAATTTTTACCTAAGGTTTTCCAGTAATGTTGCTGCACGTGGTTCAGGATGCTCTCCAGTCTCCAGACGCCGAGGGGGTCGTAACCTGACCACACCTGCAGACATTTCAAAGGTATTCCGGGAACCAGGATGGCAGAGATATCGCGGTAAGTCCCAATGTGGTCGAACTCCACTGCCACGCCCAGCTCCGGGCAAGTGTTGGTCAACAATCGCCACGATGATTTCTCTGTGACGTGAGAGTGCGGATCTTTTCTGTGAACTTTAATACTTAGATACCGCAGTTTTCCTCCACAGTTATCTGCCAACAGGCACAGGACAAAGTCCGATATGTAGTTGTAGTTTAAATACAAAATAGAAAGGTTAGTAAACTTTTTCAATGTGTTAACGAATTTTGGAACTCTAAAACATTGGATCATGTCGTGGTAATAATCTTCAATATTGAGAACTTCGAGAGTTTGGCCACTCCCATCTGCGACAGCTTCGAGTAATTGGGACCCACTGAAAATGTTTAAGCGTGCAGCGTGCATGTTAAATGAACGCAGAGAATTTTGGCAGTGTAAGAACCTGCAGACCGATTTCAATAATTTTTCTCTGTAAAAATCAAACCTCCAAAACCGATAAAACTCCATTCTGGGAATATTCAGGTCTATCAGCTGGCATTGCCCTGTCGCCAGGTGTTCCAAAATTTGGCACATCACTCTCTGGAAGCGCTTCCTCGTGTTTCCACGTCGCTTACTGCAGTATATTGTAAGGTGACGTAGATGGCTGCCATAAAGTTGGGCAAACCTGAGTGCTTTCCGTTCTTCCACCGCGTCAACTGCGCCCAGTCTCATAATACGTTTTCTCCAAAGACAAGGGGAATGTGAAATCTGGGCCCAACGTTTACAAACACGTGCAGCTCTTCCGCGATCGGCGTCAGAAAGGTATTGAAATATAGTCACCAGCAATATGTCTGGCACTACTCCCCAGTCCGTGTCACATTCTGCCTCAAAATCCATTTTACAACGGCCAGAACGGATACATACGAGATCTACGTCTGACAGTGTATTTTATAAAGTTGAGTTTCCAGGCAACATTACAATACAACAGTAGGCTGTCGTCACAAATGCTTTGCCATGGAGACGGACGTAACATATAGATCTAGATCTCTACATATTCGCGTTAAACGTTACAGCTTTTTAGCAACACGGGTAGATTAGATCTAAATTAGCTTGATATTACTTTTTTGATATTATTATTATTATCATTATTATTATTATTATCATCAATGATTCATCATCATCATCATCATCAGCATCTCTACGCTGAATTACGTTACGTGGAGATAACATACATTATGTATCTCTCCTCCCCCCACCAAGGTTTTTTTTTTTTTTTTTTTTTTTTTTTTTTTTTTTTTTTTTTTTTTTTGCGTGGCTTTCGCAATTTTACCGTTACTACAGGCGCCATAACCTTGGAACCACCGGTCAAGGCTGCAGCCTTGCGAAAAGGAAATAAGTGTGACATCATAGATTTTCTATAGAGATCTAGATCTAATCATAGAAGTAGAGAAAAAAAAATAGATTTTATTGTTGACTTATTGGATTAGCTTTTCCGAGACAAAATGGGTGGCCCTGAAAAGGGCCTGTTATTGACGTCGGGAACTTGTCTACTTTTTGGCGACCTTCTTAGTCTTCTTGGCTGCTGGTCTCTTTGTAGCCTTCTTTGCTACCTTCGGTCTCTTAGCTGCTGCCTTCTTGGCCTTTTTTGGAGATCTAGATTTTTTTGCGGCCTTTCCTCCTTTTTTTGCTGGCTTCTTTGCCTTGGATTTTGACCTCTTTGTTTTCTTGGTTGCAGACTTTGAAGACGATCTTCTCCTTGGCTTTGCCTTCTTAGTCTTCTTGGGGCTCTTCTTTTTCTTGGGCGCTGCCTTCACCTTGCCGAGACGGAAACGTCCTGTGCTGCCGGTAGCGCTTGATCCCTTGGGGCGGACGAGCACACCACTCTTCAAACCTGCGGCAAAAGCACGGCGTAGCATAGCACTCAGCATAGGCGCTCGGATACCCTGAAAGTTTGCCAAGATATACTTGCGAATAGCTTGAGCAGACGATCCGCGACGGTTGCCAAGAGCTTTGATGGCCACGCATACCATTGCCAGTGTGGCCGGGTGGGCACTTTTCTTAGACGCTGACTTGGCTCTTTTCTTTGGTCCAATCTTTGCCTTGGGTGGCGATCTCTTTGGCGATGCCGGCCTTGTTGGTGAGGCAGATCTATTTGGCGACCCTGTTTGACTTCCAGCCATAATGAAATGACGTAGTGAAAATATCTTCGCGGAGGAAATCTTCAACTAATGACAAAATTGAATGAATCTCAGCTTTATGAACTTCGCGCGGACGTCTGAGAACACGCTTCAATAAAAGTGCACAGAAATCAATATGGCTACCTCGTCGTCTGCTATTTGTGCTTGTTGGCAAACATTTAGGGCATCTATACACACAGCAGAGAACACAAATTATGCTACTTTAAATAAGTGTTCTCGACAATGGTACATAGTTTTCACTTATACAGTTTGAGTACAATCCGAATGCCACAAATAATAATTTTCGGTCCCAATGCAAGCAATAATTCCGGAGTGAGACCTTAGATCCACCAAAAAACCACTTTTATAGAATAAAACGGGCCAGTTTTTGTAAATTCTTATGTTTATTAATAAAATTCAAAGCATTAAGGCAATTATTATCAAATCAATACTTGATAAGATAACTTTTTAAATTGCTTAGTAAGTTGGAATACTCAAGGAAAAAAACACGTTTTTGTTTGTCGCGCAGAAATGTTCTATAGATCTATATGGGACTGATAGTTCAGTGAAAACAGTGGACTTTTTCAAAAATCTTGCCAAAAGGTTTGTAAATTATATGGATATGGTGGTTTTTGATAACATATACGTGTACAGGCCTATTTATTTATTTAATTATTTATTTATTTATTTATTTATTTATTTATTTATTTATTTATTTATTTATTTTTACATTTAAATGCTATTAAAATGCTAAAGGCTAATATTTTAATGAAACACCGATGAGAATTGATAACGTTATCTAGGCCTATAGGCTTAGCAGTGGTAGTAGGCCTACTTACTTATTAATTTCAAAGCAGATATACAATTTTGTAAATTAAATATGCGAGCAGAGCTGGGTAATAGACCTATCATCGTAGAGCCTCACACTTGATTTTATTTCCTTTTTCTTGTTCATAATTGATCTTTTTATGTCATTATTTCTCAATTTTACAATGACTGGCTGATGTTGTCCATCTCTGCCTGGGATTCTATGAATTGCAGTTACATCATGGGGGTCCAGTTCAATGTTAATTTCTTTCTTGAGAAATTCAGGGAAGTCACTTCTTAAATTTTCTTTGTTGCGAGGGGGGAAGTTTAGAACTCTTCCATTTAATTTTCTCGAGTATTGCTCGTTGTAGTTAGGCCTACTTTGTTTGATTGCTTCAGTTGATCTAGTATGATTTTGAACGACCCTTTCCTCCAGATCTTTTAATTTCTTTTCTTTATTATTCAGTTTCTCTTTTATTTTCCAGCAATAGTGAGTCTATTTTGTCTTGCATTTTACCCGTGGCCTCGGCAATTCTTAGACCGTATTCACATCGAGTTGAGCCAGGCGTTACAAATCCTGGGACTAAATATGGCGGACGTACATGAAAGAAAAACCGCCTAATTTTGCGGGGGTACAGTCATTAAATCTCGGCTCCATTGGGACGACACATGGGGAGGCGTGTGAGAGGCGGGGAGACTTTTAAAAGATTAGGCGATTTTTCTTTCATGTAGGCCTACGTCCGCCATGTTTAGTCCCAGGATTTCTAAAGCCTGGCTCAACTCGTTGTGAATGCGATCTTAATTTCATCTCACTTTGTATGAAGTCCTGGATCGTGTTATTTTGATAAGAGTTAGTTTAACTAAGACATGAGCCGGCCACCCCCAAACAACCAAAAATGTGGGCCTCATAGTAGCCCATTGTTTGAGGGATGCGGCTTGCGTAATCACTCAGAAACAACTAAAACCCGTGTAAACGATTCTACTTCTTTTTTTTATTTGGGATTCAGTTGGGATGGAAAATCGCTTGATATGCAAATGCTGCTGATATTTTAATATTTTTATATTTTAATTAAAATGTAATAGTGCACTTTGTAAAGACAAAAGATTTTGTGTGTGTGTGTGTGTGTGTGTGTGTGTGTGTGTGAGTCACATTACCCATAGGCGTTTAAAAGTGCAGTTTAAGTGGGCCCCTTCTAGTCCGGATAGGTCTTTCCATAAAAGTTAACATTTTCTAAAACATTAAAACAAGCACTAACCACTTATCTTTACAATAGTAAAACCAATAGCCTAAAGACAATGAGAGTATCAATTTTCTGCTGATATATCATTACATAATGAATGTGCACAGACGTTCAAAACTTTCAAACTTCTCAAATTTACTTAATATTACTAATTACTTTTAAATATTTGTTCAACGTTGTTAGGTGACATTATGGATCATCCATTTAATCATCATTTTCACGTCTACAAACCGTACGTTTTGGGGTGGGTAATATATGTAGGCTTAATTACCTACTGTAGGCTTTTGGAAAAGGAATAAAAATGATATGATCCAAATCTCTGTCAAAATTCATCATTTTTCTCTTTTTACCCGTTACTCTCTGGAGGGGGGGGGGGGGTCTGAAAAAAGTTCTACGCACAAGGATGAATTAATGTTGCTGGGTATCCTGTGCAACATGCGCGAGATGTAGGCCCTATGTCATAAATTTAAAGGTCTGTATCGCTGTAACAAGTACACCATGTGAACGTTGAACTAATTGAATGTATCTGTTGCGCCAAAGAGCAAAAAAATCCTTGACTGGGCCGACAAGTCGTCTGCATTACTTTGTTTCCGATTTGAAGGCATCACATAAGGAAATGGTTGAACGAAAAACTCTAAAAAACAAAGATTTAAAAGCTACACGAAAGGCCGACCCACTGAGTAGGAAAATGAACAGATTAACACCGTTGTAAATTTGAAATGTTAATTTTCCTATAAAATACAGAGGGAAATATGAAAACGAAATGTATCCTCTCAGTGGTACTAACAGCGCTACTAAAGTAACAACATATGGCATACACAGAATTAAAAAGCAAACCGAAGAAATCACAAGACATAGAGTTCCTACTGAACCTCCTTTTGCATTTTGAGCACTCCCCGTTGCTATTTGTTTTCTTTTTTCTGCTTGGATATACATAACTGACGCTATTTTAATATTCATAAATGTGATGGAGAGTAAAATTACAATGTATACAGTCATACGAAAGACCAAGTAACTTCCCAGATCTATTAAGAACTGCCTCTGTCGTTCTGGCATAATTTGACACGTGTCGCTCCCCACGTATTGTATGCCGCCACACAGCAACCCGCCACTTATGGTCAGAATAAGGCACACGAGGAGGAGCTAAAACATTGAAAAAAAAAAAAACATTACAGTGGCTATCACACTAGGCTAGTAGCACTAGCTCATCTCCATGAACTCCTTTTTGTTCCTTAAGTTATACCACCTGGTTGTGTCAATTCATCAAATGAGTATATTCATTAATAAGTAATTCTTTACATTTTAACGCTACGACACACGGTATTGATTAAACTTGTGACTTGTTAGTTTGAAAGCTCACTGGAAGATATACTTATTAAAGATACACTTGTCAAAAATACTACGCCCATTAAACATTTATATCTCTAGCTAAGCACCCCTACTAATGCGTTATATACTAGTAATATACTCGACAAAACCAAACAAAACTGCTGAAAAAGCATGTAAACTATACTATTCTTCTACTTACTGATTTTATCAGAGCAATCCTGGACCGAGTAATCCTCTTGAAAGGAAAGCACACTATGAGAAATCTGTCTAAAGTGATCAGACACACCAGTGCGGTACATATATCTCTCGAAAATTCATCAGCTACGGTTTTTGTAACGCAATACCAAAAGGGGTAAAAAACATGACCAAAGTTAGTAACGATGATTGTCACGCTTTCAGAGAATAATGCTACTAAATGCAAACAGTTGGCAAGGGCAAGGAAGACAGGGAGAAGCGTCGCCGTTTTATTGTTCCCTTCTTTTTTGTCGCTCAGCAGAACTGTTATAAGAAGGGTGTTTGCCACCAAGGCAAGCGGACTGAAGACAGAAGAAAAATAATGGTACATCTTCATATAGTTTTCGAAAGTGAGCATTCCGCCAGGGGAAATGCACTGCTCAATAGAGTCCATAATCCTAATCGCATTTGCCGAATTTTCTTCTCCGGGCTCTAAAACTCCGGGGCACACATGCTGAGTAATCGCAGTCAGATTGCCATCAAAATCTTCCAGTTGCGAGTCGGTTGGAAGCTGACATACTGCTGAAAAATTCTTTGGCTCATCTAAGGAGAATTCTGTAAAACATAGGTAGCGCGCGCTTTTTTCTTGATTCAATTTATCGTAATTGTTCAAGCAGTCCTCCTCCGGTACATTAAAAAGAGGAGTTATCTTCACTTTCTTTGTCTTGATGTCCAGCAAACCGCAATATTCAGCGTAAGTACTGGGATCAAACCAAGCGTCAGTCCGAAAAAGTTCCCCTTTGCTTCTATTCCCGTTTAATTGACAATAAAAGGTTTGCACATCACCCATTAAAGACGAGGACATGTCTTCAATGTTGTGTATAGTTTTTCTTTTTTGTTCCAAATCCATAACTGCAATACATATATTAACACGTCGACTGTCTCTAGTAATTTCTTCAAAGTTCATGGAATCATTTTTTCCATTTGTACGTACCTTAAGGCTCATTTCAACTAATTCTGTTACCATATCCCTACCTTCTGCCAAAAGCTTCTCAAAGGTTCGTCTGAAACTGGCGGCACCCGTGGTCCGTGCAATCCTTTCCAGACGCAAACACCCAGTTTGGTTGACGCCCACCATCACTACGTTACTTTGATATGTGTTTTGTGGGATTATTGAAGAGAAAGCGCGCTGACAGGCAGGGTCAAACAGAACAAGAAGAGTTTGATGTAAATCGACAGTTTTTAACCCTTCTATCGACAAAAGGTCATTAAACCGCTGTTGCGATATGTTGAAACTACAACCGGCAAGGACCGGGACTGTCCCTATTGGAGTGGAGCGCCAAGTTTGCATGCTCAACATTTGGAACATCGTCAGCCGTAACACGCACACGGGTATAACGAAATAGAGCATATTGTTAAGGTTGCTTTTGTCTAGTTTTCGAAATGAACCAG